CAGGAGCCTTCCCTCTCGCTGCCTTGGCCTCCGTCAGCCTCGCCAGCCCCCTCGTCAGAAGCCCCCCCGTCGCCCCCTCCGTCGTGGGCCTTGCACTCCTCGCCGCCGCAGCTGTCGTTGCCGCAGTCACAGCAGTCGGAGCAGCAGGAGGAGATGTGCGAGAGGGGGCGCCGGTGCCTCATGGGTGACGGGGACGACGACGGCGGGGGGGTGCTGTAGTCTCCCCCAGGCCGGTGGAAGGAGCTGGGGGACGCGGATTCCTCGGCCGGGTCGGGGAGGCTCAGCAGCGGCGACGAGTCTATCCGCCGGAAGTCGCTGACGGAGCCTGGTGGAGAAAAGGTGTCAGGTGATAGGAGGGAGAAAGGGTGATAGGAGAGAGAAATTGTCTCGTGAAAGAGCGGAGAGCCTAAGGATAAGACAGAAAGGTATGGAGACAAATTATGGATGACCTACATGCTATAAAGCTGAATAAACGCCTTTATATGGTTATGAATTTCGGTTCACCTGTATGGCCTTTGAATCTAATAAAGAGTTATAAAAGCATTCTTCGGAAGGTTGAACGCAAGGGATGGCGTCCTACGAAGAGGATAAATCCATGTAAAAAGAGAAAAGCTAAAATATATGTACATATATCTCAGAAATAAACGACCCCCCTACAGGCATAAGCACCTATTTATATGTAAAGTAGATCACGGGGACTGGGATAAAGACTCTGATAAAGCCCTGAGGGTGCCGGTAAGGCGATGAATGTAGCCATTACGGAAGGGCAAAGACACAAGCCGTCTCCTCACGTGTCGTGGCGAAATGCTGATAAAAGATACTACGTTGTGGTAGTTTTAAGGACCAATTATGCCTGTTTTTGCGTAACGATTTGAAGGGTGGGGAGAGCGTAAATTGTTTAATAATACAGCATATGCTTACAAGATTGCATGTAAGTCTTAAAAAAAAAAAAAATAGATAAATAATAATAATGTATATTCTCTCATCATATAAATAAGATATCTTTCCAGCAACTGCCATTCTGATTCAACATGACATTTTTCCTCTTTTGATATAGTTTAAACAACTACATTGCATTCTATGTAGATGTGCTTAGATTTATGAGTCAATGATATAATACATTCACTCGATTGATCTAAAGTGTCTCTCGAAAGAGCTGAAGAAACCACTGAATGAGCATAATACGAAAACAGGTGTCAAATTACCCCCATTAGACGACGGCGGGCCATAGGCGGGCTCCTCGCGGTGTCCGTCCGGCAGGCAGGGTTCTCGCCCCATGTCCGACATCGAACTGCCAACACTGTTCACGCTCTTGTTCATCCCGGACCCGTTCACAGGGCCGCCCACGCCTCTCGGAGATCGGTGGAGCTCCATGTCCGAGGCGTAGATGGAGGAGCGGTGCCTGTAGGCTGAGCCGGAGCTGGTCTGGGACAGGCTGCTCACTCCCATGGAAGGGCGTCGGCGAGGCTTACCCAGACTGCCGTGGGTCACGTCTGGGTCCGGACCTCTCTTCTTCAGGGAGCCGGAGCCGTGGCTGCTGTTGCTCAGACCTCGCCTGACGGGCGCTCGGCCTGGCTGGATGCCCAAGGCGCTCAGTATGTCGGGGTTGTACCTGTTTGGGAATTGGAAATTGACGTTACTTCTGATTTCATTTATACGGATGTCCCAATTTTATATAAATCACTATACGAAGGTCATGGTTAAATAAAGCGATCAAATCAAATGAGATTATGCATAACCAGTGTTGCTAGAATCGACGACGTGAATCTTTCTTGGGTAGTTGATGGAAAGGAATATAATATAAACATGACCTTTCCTGTATGTTATCCCCCCACCCCCAAGTCTACTTACTGAGGGAGCTGATGAATCTTCACAGCCGAGGGGTCAGAATCCTTGGCCCGGGCCTTTCGCCGTCTAGAGCTTCGCTTTCGCTGAGGAACGGAAAGCTCAGGTGGAACTTGCAATAGTTGATTTGCTTGCTGCTGCTGTTGCATCAACAACTCTTGTTGTATTCTAGCTCGCGATGCCGGGGAGAAGGTGACATTTCTGCGGAGTCTGTGTGGAATGGGTGCCAGGGCTGCTGCCGGGGTGCGGACTGACATGCTGCAAGGGAAAGAGGCACATAGATCGTTGGATTTTACTTCTCAGTTTCGATATGCTCCTTCTACCCACACTGACCGATCTAAACTCCACGTAGCATCCACTCCCACCCACCTGTACGCCCTCTCCCGCACTCCCGCCTCGTAGCCTTCGCTGTCGTCGTCCAGGTCGAAAGCCTCGGCGAGCTCCATGTGAGGATCCGCCCGCCGAAGCCTCTCGAGTCCCAGGTGCTCCAGGTGGGCGGCTTCCTCTCGGAGGGGGCCGTGCGAAGACGTGTGGAACAGGGGGGCGTGGTCTCTTAGGCCAGGAGAGTCCCAGGAGTTTTGGTGGAGGAACTTGCGGGAGTTTTTCCGTCTGTTCCGCTCCTCCACGACCGTCTCGGCCAGGTATCTGAAGGCAGGTGAGGAACTAGGAATACACTTTACGTTTTCGCGAATTTGCACTTATTATTCGCAATGTACTTATCGCTTTCGTGAAGTGTACAGTACACCTTACACTCCTACGTTTCGGAAATATAAATTATTACATATCACAGTGCTTATACCGGACAAACTATGTATACATTACGAAATATCTACCTACAACATCTATATACATTATCTACAATCTATATATTAATATCTACAATCTATTAATGGCTTTTGTGCAGCAGACATGCGTGTCTTTCTCAAATGTGGTTTTAATCACTGAAACACACAGTACTGAGGTTTACAAAGGTCTTTGAAGTTCTCTTTGGAACGGTTGTTTAAGAGGAATGAACAGAATTTCAATTCACTTAGGACTATGTTTGCCTTTACATATATTAAGGTTGATCATAATGTCAGTGCCAGCTGCGGCAGCTTCAAGAACTTGGTAACAATGGAACTATTAAACTGGAATTATAAACTTCATATGATATTGTACCAAGCAAGGGGATCAACATCGAGTTCCAAATGTTGATTTTCGAATTGTCATCATTCTTGTTCTGTTATCTTGTTCTCCTTTTTTTTTTTTTTTTTTTTTTTTTTTTTTTTTTTTTTTTTTTTTTTTTTTTTTTTTACGTAAACGTGGACAACGAAATCCTGCATGACCGCAGACCACATCCTGTCGACCGGACTCACCTGACGGCCTCGCTGTGGTGGTCCTCGAGTGGCGGCCCAGCTGGGTTGACCACTCCGCTCACCATCGAGTTGTGCAGGTGGTGGGCGGGGGCGGAGTGGAGGCGGACCTCATCCTCCTGCTGCACGAAGTTCCTGCCGCCGTAGAAGGTGGAGCCGCCGATGCTGAAGAGGTCGTCGGGCATGGACTCGTGAAAGTTCTGGTTCCTGCAGCAGGCCACGACGCACAGGACGACCGACCCCACCAGCAGCAGGCCTGGTCCGAGAGGGGGGGGGGGCGGGACGTAAATGAGCGAATAGGAAATTTTTTTCAAGCTTGCGAAATAGGAAAAAAATAAGACGAACTAAAAAAAGAAAAGAAAAAGAAAAGAAAGGAAAGAAAGAAAGAAAAGAAAAGAAAAGAAAGAAGAAAGAGAAAGAAAGAAGAGAAGAGAAGAAAAGAAAGAAGAGAAGAGAAGAGAAAGAGAAAGAAAAGAAAAAAAAAATTTACTATGAATAATACCAATTTTTTTGTCGTTTTTTCCCTTTTTCTCCCCTTTTGTATTAGATAGATGACCTGTATGACCCCGGACCGAAAGACCGCGCCTTTTACCTCCCAGCCGAGAAGCGTCGGTCCGACCGCCATCAGGACCGGGTCTTTCGGGTCGTCTTCGTAGGCGTGTGACGTCACGAAGGTCCCCACGCCCATGAGAATCACGCCCACGACGAACACACACAGTACATAGGGAGCGCCCACCACCGGCCGTTTCTGGAAAAAAAGTAGTTTGCAAAGTTAAAGTACATGTTAATGGGCGAGGGCGGGGGTGGGGGGGGGGACTTAGAGATGCAAGCTTGATTTCTTAATTTGTATTATTTATTCAATTTCTGAAATATCGGTTTTTTTATTTCATTTCTCTGACATTCTGAATGATATTTCCCCATTCATGTTACTTTATGAATAAAATTCTGAAATATCGGTTTGTTTATTTCCTTTCTCTAACATTCTTAATATTTCCGTATTTATGTTAATGAATAAAAGGAGAGATAAAAAATGTAATAAAATAAAGAAGGAAATGAAAAAGCGAAGAAGAAGAAATATAGCAACATATGCAATTCCTCGACAACAAATTCATGAATAGTCTGTCACCATTTTTTTTAATATGATTAATGACGTCACCAATTCAGATTCGGATTTCAGATTTTCATTTCAATTCTTGCCCTCAAGAGTCATGCAGTAAATCCACGTGGATGCTCTCAGCTGTCGTCATGCGCTACCGGTTGCCATGCATGAGATGCCCATTAGATTTGCAATTCCCTCACACTATCATGAACGCGTCCTCATCACTGGCAGAAAAAACCCACAATGCACAAACTAAATTTATTGATGAAACGAGATTCATTATTATTGATTATATTTATAAAACTAGATTTATTCGCAAATTCTTGTTTGTGCATTGTGTTTTTTTTTCTACGATTGTATCAATACGGTACAGTGTTTTTTTCTGTTCATTCGCCTCTCTATTATAATTCTCATGAAGGGGGTATAAGAATCTTCAGACATATTACAGATTTGATTGTTTACATCTTTGTTCTTGTTTGGTTTTTGTTTCATTATTTCTTTCTTCTTACTAATATCATTGATATTATTATCATTAGCTGTATCTCTACTCTCCCCCTCCTCCCTATTATTTCTCTCTCTCTCTCTGTCTCTGTCTCTCTATCTCTCTCTCTCTCCCTCCCTCCTCTCCCTCCCTCCCTCTCCTCTCTCTCTCTCTCTCTCTCTCTCTCTCTCTCTCTCTCTCTCTCTCTCTCTCTCCTCTCCCTCTCTCTCTCTCCAATCCATAATCTCCCATTCCTCATTCAAAAAAGAAGCAAACGAAACTACAGGAAAATATACCCACTCACACTTGCATATTAAGCTGCCGTCCCATCGAAAGGCGATCGTGGATAAGTTTTGATTAAATTCCCCGGATGGGCGGCGGGCGGCGGGCGGCTTTCGAAGTGATCCGCCCTTCCCCCTTCCCCCTTTCTCTCCCTCTCCCTTCTTCTCCCTCTTCTATATTCCCACGCGACCCCCTTCTCCCTTTTTTGCGCACGTGTGGTTTTGCTAAAATGCTGGAGTGCCATTGCTGGAGTGCCGACTTTTCTTGTTTCTTACAAGTGGCGTGTGCATGGAATGTTACTGGGAATTTGGTATCAAATACATGACCGTATTTACTAATATACACCAGAAAAAGACAACATAATACACCCTTGACACACAACAGACACACACGCAAAAAACTCACACACACGCAAACACTCACCACACGCGCACACGCACACACACACACACACACACACACACACAACACACAACACGCACACGGCACACACACACCACACACACACACACACACACCACAGCTCCCTTGGCTACTACGTCAGAATTTCGTGACGGTCTTTATCATTATCATCATCATCATTCTCCTCTCCCTCCTCCCTAGTCATCATTATCATCATCACATCTCATCATCATCAATCATCAATATCATCATCATCATCATCATCCTCCTCATCCCCCCTTCATCATCATCATTATCATCATCAATCATCATCATCAATCATCATCATCTTCTCCTCCTCCTCCCCTCATCATCATCATTATCACCATCATCACCATCATCATCATCATCATCATCATCATCATCATTATTAGTATCATCATTGTTCATTATTCTCTAAAAAGGGACATTATCTCATTGTAATCCTTCTCTGCATTACATAATGGAGACGACGGGATATAAACACTATCGTCGCTGTTGTTATTATCATTGGAGTTTCTTTTGTTGCAATCATTATCATTCTTATCGTTATCATCATTGTTGTTATTGTCATATTATTGTAGTAATGATAATCTGATGATGGTGTTGACGATGATAATTATTTCAACAACAAATCAATAATGATAATGATAGTAATAATGATAATAATGATACCGATGATAATGATAATGGTAATAATGATAATGATAGAAATAATAATAATAATGATAATAATAATAATGATAATAATAATAATGATAATAATAATGATAATGACAATACTAATAACAATAATAATAATATTGATAATGATAATGATAATGATAATAATAATACTTTTTATAACAGCAATAATAATAATAATAATGATAATAACAATAATCATTATTACTATTACTATTATTATCCTCATAACTCATCATCGTCATCATCACCACCTTCATCGTCACCATCATCTTATCATTAGCATTATCATTTCTGTCATTACTTTTGTTGTTTCTCTTACAATTGTATTGCCACTGGCATTGTTAGACCAATAATCATTCTTATTACAATTATCATTATCATTGTCTTTATCATCATTTTCTATAACACTATCATTAATATTATTACTATGCTTATTGCATGTATATGCAGAAAGGTATGAATGAGAACAAATATCTTTAAAATACAAGATATTCATTCTCATTCATACCTTTCTACATTTGTCAACATGAATACGGTTCATTATTGTTATTATCATTATTATTATTATTATTATCATTATTATTATTATTATTATTATTATTATTATTATTATTATCATATTATTATTTATGTTATTATTATTATTATTATTATCTATTATTATTATTATTATTCATTATATTATTTTATTATATTTTATTATTATTATTATTATTATTATTATTATTATCATTATTATTATTATTGTCATTGTTGCTGTTGCTATCATCATTACCATTATCATTGTTATTATTATTGTCATTGCTGTTGTTGTTGCTTTTCTTCTTTTTACTATTATCATTATTATCATCATCATCATCATCAAAAGTATTGTCATCATTATTATCATCATCATCATTGTTATTGATTTTATCATTATTATCATTATTATTATCATTACCAATATCATTACTATTGTAATTATCATCATTATCAACTATCATCGTTATCAGTGTTATTGTTATCATTTTCATCCTCATCATCATGATAACTATCATTATCATTATCATCAATATGATAATATAATAATGATTAATGTTATCAACATTTTCATCTATGATTATCATTATCACTACTGCTATTGTGGATATTATAATTGTTACCATGATCATTATAATTGTCATTATTGTTATTATTATTATGATTATTATTATCATAATTATCAATGTTATCATAATCAGCATTTTTTCTTCTTATTGATATTATTATAATTTCTATTATTATTATTATTATTATTATTATTATTATTATTATCATCATCATAAGTATTCACATTTTCTTTATTTTCATCTTAG